GAGCCTATTTTTATAAAATACACTCGATTTACCGTTCCATGAGGAGTTACGACCGCCTTTTTAATTTGAAAACGGCAATTTCTTACATTATGGTGACCTAAATAATGTAGGAAAAACAATATTCTGAGTCGTCAATTGTGAATCACAGAAAATTCTAGCTATGTAACTGTGACGGAGGCTTGAACAAAATACAAAACTATACAGGCTTGCAGGTTTTAACATAAAGATATGTAGAAATAGAATATTTCAAGTTTATACAATACAGTGTATCTTATGAATATCAATGGAGAAATAAATCACGTGGTATACAAACCTATATGCTCTCCCAGTAATTTACTAATTCCCTTTCAAACAAATCTAAAAAAATCTGCGTCTGTAGTACTCTTTTTCCATGGCGGGACACACGTATTTTAAGGTTAAAGAATGTTGTGAAAGCAATCCATCACTTTCCAAAAACTTTTTCATAAGTGGAAAGGCTGACCAGAGAATAGGCGATGTGCTTTACCCATATCTGTCCCAGTCCAATGTATCTATTACGGAAATTCGGACTTCCAATTCGGAAGAAGGAAAACCATCGACAGTAACAGAGCCTAATGCTCCCATTTCTGTTCTTGAGTCATTTGGCGTGCGATTCATTTTTGTTGACATAAAACAGAATGGTAAGAACTTTGATATGTCTGTCTTTGAGTGAACATTTAAATCAAATCATATAAAAATAAAAAAATATCTTGCTTAATAAGAACTTGGTCGGTTGGTGTCTCAAGTATGTAAATAATCATGTCATATTGTTAATGTTATGTTGAAGGATACAATCATTCTTTGAAATCTAGTTGCTATTAAACTTCCATGAAAACGAGAGTTGTTGTTTTTTTTTTTTTTTTTTTTTTGTTTTTTGTTTTTTTTTTTTTGTTGATTAATTTCATTTTTTAGACAAGGCAGATGCACCCCAAGAAAAGGAAAACGGATCAATAAATGTTTTTGAAATTTTGATGAAAGTCCAAAAATCATACGATAAACTACCCTCCTCAAGGTATGTATTAAATGTACATTTTTTTTTTTTGGAATAGACATATTTTTATTTCAACATGTGAATTGATTTAAGAGATTTTTATGTGTAATAAGATTGTCAAATATTTATTTTAGGGTTGGTAATAAACACTTTGAGATGGTAAAATTTTAATAAAAATTCATTCAGAATTGGTGTTTTTATCATTTTTGATGTTGAAATGTAAGTGTTTATTGCATTTTTAGCCGGGCTTTGCTGAAAGCAAAGTCTGACTATAGGCATCATGATCAACTGTCTTACTATAAAAAGCATGTAACAAAAAACCAAACAGCGTCAAAGGAGACGCTTCCGATAAACAAAATAGTCAAAGGCCTGACGATATTCAAACAGATATTTTTAACATCCCAATCCTTGGAAAAGTTATTGATCAATATTTTGGCTTGAGAATTAAACTGAAAGAGCAATTAGATATTTGCTTTATTTGGATAATCCTGATATTCCACAGAAAAATAATTCAAACGTTTGCAAATTTTTCTCTTGAAATGTATTCCAATAAATAGCTAAAAAAATAACTTTTCATGACTTTCAGTTCACTTTACAATTTAAAAAACGGGGTCTCTGTAGGGAAAAGAGTACCAAATAATTTCCCATAGAACTCTATACAAACCTATATGCTCTCCCAGTAATTCACTAATTCCCTTTCAAACAAATCTCTAAAAATCTGCGTCTTTAGTACTCTTTTTCCATGGCGGGACACACGTATTTTAAGGTTAAAGAATGTTGTGAAAGCAGTCCATCACTTTCCAAAAACTTTTTCATAAGTGGAAAGGCTGACCAGAGAATAGGCCATGTGCTTTACCCATATCTGTCCCAGTCCAATGTATCTATTGCGGAAATTCGGACTTCCAATTCGGAAGAAGGAAAACCATCGACAGTAACAGAGCCTAATACTCCCATTTCTGTTCTTGAGTCATTTGGCGTGCGATTCATTTTTGTTGACATAAAACAGAATGGTAAGAACTTTGATATGTCTGTCTTTGAGTGAACATTTAAATCAAATCATATAAAAATAAAAAAAATATCTTGCTTAATAAGAACTTGGTCGGTTGGTGTCTCAAGTATGTAAATAATCATGTCATATTGTTAATGTTATGTTGAAGGATACAATAATTCTTTGAAATCTAGTTGCTATTAAACTTCCATGAAAACGAGAGTTGTTTTTTTTTTTTTGTTGTTGATTAATTTCATTTTTTAGACAAGGCAGATGCACCCCAAGAAAAGGAAAAGGGATCAATAAATGTTTTTGAAATTTTGATGAAAGTCCAAAAATCATACGATAAACTTCCCTCCTCAAGGTATGTATTAAATGTACATTTTTTTTTTTTTTTTTGGAATAGACATATTTTTATTTCAACATGTGAATTGATTTAAGAGAATTTTATGTGTAATAAGATTGTCAAATATTTATTTTAGGGTTGGTAATAAACACTTTGAGATGGTAAAATTTTAATAAAAATTCATACAGAATTGGTGTTTTTATCATTTTTGATGTTGAAATGAAAGTGTTTATTGCAAGTTGACAGAGTTCGTCTGCCGATTTAAAGATACAGAAGAGAGCCTTTTTTTATAAAATACACACGATTTACCGTTCCATGAGGAGTTACGACCGCCTTTTTAATTTGAAAACGGCAATTTCTTACATTATGGTGACCTAAATAATGTAGGAAAAACAATATTCTGAGTCGTCAATTGTGAATCACAGAAAATTCTAGCTATGTAACTGTGACGGAGGCTTGAACAAAATACAAAACTATACAGGCTTGCAGGTTTTAACATAAAGATATGTAGAAATAGAATATTTCAAGTTTATACAATACAGTGTATCTTATGAATATCAATGGAGAAATAAATTACGTGGTAGCAATCTCATGAATAAATTGCACACCATTTCTCCAAATGTTCCTGTTATAAAAGATAAAACTACAAAATTTGAGCATACTTTGACGCTGTTTGGTTTTTTGTTACATGAAAGAGAAATTAGATATTTGCTTTATTTGCTTTATTTGTATAATCGTAATATAACAATTTGTGCACGTAGGCGGCTGAATGTATATTGTAAGCGAACTATTATCAATAGCGCGGGCTTTTCGAATTGTTAAAATTCTTGAAGAGTGTCATGTTTCATATCGTTTTCGTCGTTGTTATGTTAGTGGTTATATTCTGTTTTGATTTTTATCAAATTAATAATATAGTGAATTGGAATTTTAAGAATTAACATGCGTGAAGTCGCTTGACAATGTACATATATCAGGTTTCTACATGTAGTTGGCGATAAAGCTACTGTTTTAAGAATGTCTTTAAAATACACCTGTGCATTATTTTAACTATTCCAAGATTGAAATTTTAAATTATGAGAAAAAATGCTTACTGAATAGAAAATATGCGTGAACTTCTTGGAAATATTATTAAATTGAGAAAAAAATGCTTACTAAATAGGAAATATGCGTAAACTTCTTGAAAATATTATTTATTACTTCAAATTTTACAATCATAACATACCGTATCTTGAAGTCTGGACTGTTAATTTTAATTACTGATATATGGGATATTGTTTGAAATCATAATCATACAAACTCTACCCGTTAAAAATCAATGACCAAAAGGAAAAAATAAATGTGTACTAATTTCGGATCAGAAAATATACTCGAGCAATTAAAGCCTGGCTTTCAGTTCTTTCAATACTTTGATTAGATATGTTATTCAAACTACAAAGGCCTAGAGTAACGTCAAATAGTTTTGATATTTACTTCCGGTCGCGTGTTTTCCTGTACTCAATATGCTAAGTTATATATTTTTGAGGAAATATAGGCATCACATTCGGTAAAGAAAGAAGGATTTTTCCCGGCATTTTAGTACAGTACTTATGATTAACAGCTTCAAAACCTTGAAAACCTAAAATATTGTTAAAATTTTATTAAAAATGCAAAATTTTGAATTCTGTTAAGAGGTTTAAAAAGCTACTTCCGGTAATGGAAAGAAATTCATTCAACCGTTAATAACTGATTTGGCAAAGTAAAAGATGTCCTAACATTTTTGGTACATAGTTATAACTTGTATATAATTTAACCCTAAAATTAGGATGTTGCGTTTCTATCGACGGTGAGTATATATTATCTATGTAATGACGTACTTTTATTGTATAAGATAATATGTGCCTGTTTCGGATTAAGCAGCTTTAAAGAAGAAGGTTCCAATTTGTATCAAATAAATAGATTTTTTGCCAGGTTTATAACTCATTATTTGTCAGGCACCTAATTATTATCAGATGTGCGTACAACTATGCAAAATTCAAATGACGTGTTACAAAGGCTTGCTTAATTACAGGTTATTGTCTGCACATCTTGCAATGGATTGTTTTGATTGAGAACTTATCCAGCATGAAGACCAGGACATAATTAAAGGTAAGTGGCCCTATCAGCAAAGAATCAAACAAAGCAAAGCCTTCATCTTCAAAAGATTTACATTTAATACTTATTTAATTTGTGATTTATTTGAATTTCTTCAGAATGTTATGTTACATGTACATACTATGAAAAAAAAATTATATTTAAATCAAAATCGCTTTAAAATTTATTTCAGTACTTTGTGACAGTGGGAAGATGAAATTAAACATGACATGGCTCTATATTACTGCATCATATATCAATCCAGGTTTACTTATAAACCGAATGAAAACAGTCAAGCATCATTTGGAATTGGAGCTACATATGTCACCGCCTTAACAATATGCCTGCTTACATAACCAAGAAAGCACAGTGACCAGTTGTACCTATGATGTCGGACGAGATCCTGAGAAAACTTCCAGTACTCATCACTACCTGCACAGAAATGAAAATTTTAAATGACTTGTATTAACCCTTTTGTATTTCACCTTTCTTGTATTTTAGTACTCATGGCCTTTAGCTTCCTTCAAACAAAATTTCATCAGTACCAACTTGTAGGTGAAAAATGTTGAAACAGTTTGTTTGTCCCAAAGAAATTCTCTTCCAATTAATGAATTATCAGTGTCGTGAGCATTTGATTGATGTCAGTTCCATCGGCAAAGTATTTGTAGCGGAATGGTGCCAGTTGAAACACTTTTCACAAGAACCTGGAAAAACATCAGGTGGAAGTGATCATCTACAAGAAAAAAAGTGAATACTTTCTTAAATACTAGTATTAACAATAATACAGTAAAACTCGGTTATAGCGAAGTCACTGGGACCTATGAAATTACTTTGCTGTATCCATAATTCTTTTAAATTTATATAGCAGGGGATACGAGATAACTTTGCTATATCCGTGAATTTGCAATACATGTATCTGTGTACTAAACGAGTTTTACTCATACTGTATAACATGCCTCTGTACCTCTGTTATATAAAAAAACTAAATACACATGTACCGGTAAGTTGTAACTACCAAATATACAAATTAAACTAAGACTTCCTTAAATTTGTTCTGAAGTGTATTTACAGCGTATTAAAATAAGCATGCAATATTTGTCTTGATATACGTAAGAATTTTTAAGAAAAGATTATTCGTTGAAACAAATGACTTTGCAAACATTCTGTACAATTAGCAATTTTTATGCAGAACTTACTTATAAATGTTGAATGTGCATTTCAATCGTTGGAATGAATGTAAGGCACACAGTAGGAGAATAGTTCTTGTTGATAAGTTAAATAACTTGTTATTTACTGATTTTTTTTTTAAAGAAAATATGATAAAAAATTAAACTAGCATATATATGGCCCCTTGATTTACCATGATATGTGAGCTTTTGTGAATTTGATACTGAACTAGTAAGTTTTAAATATTGAAGTAAAGAAAAGTGCAGCCCAAAAAAATACATTGTGCCTGATTTAAAATGAATTCCATCAGTAACTACTTGGAAGTTGTCATATGAGAGAACTATGAGATAAACCCCATTAACAGATACCAGTACAAAGATGACACATTCAGTTGAAGCATTGTCCTTTTTTAGTACCTTCTGGAGCCCTGTAACATAGATAAAATATTGTATTGTTGAATGATGAATATCCTATGGCCCCAGTGAGGGCCTGTAAGGAGACACAGTTAAATTGTTGTAGCTACATGTACAACAAATGAGAAAAATTCCAGTTTCTAATCAAAGGCGGATCCAGGGCAAGCGCGATGGGCATGTGCCCCCTTCCTCTTAAAGTCTTTAAATTTGTTTATGAAATTTTGCTTATGCTATTCTAAAATCAAAGGGAAAAAACTTTAGGTTTTTCCTCAGTTTTATGGGGGCTTTGCCCCTGCACTCCCGCCAGGTCTTTTCCCTTCAATGCAGCCACAAGAACCCTTTACCTACTACTGCATCCCCCATCCCCTGTTATGCAATTCAGCCACTGCTCATTAATTCCTATTTTAGGAAAAAAAAATGTCTGTCTCATAATTTTAAGATTATTTTGGAAGAGGGTCATGAAGCTTTACAGTTAATATAGAAATTGAAATTGAATATATACATGCCTGTGTACATGGAAGAAGTAATGATTGACATTCCTATTTCTGGATAACAGGATAGAGTAAATAACTAGTTCATGAATATACTTTATATCTATTGTAATGAATTATGCATAGTATTATTATTAAATTAAATAATAAATATTATTTCTATCAGGATCATGTTTTAATGTAGTTATCAACCTAGCTGCAGAAATGTAGCTCTCTGAAAAAAATATATATTTGATAGACCGGAGAGCTACAGTGCCACCCATTGAAAAAACTGTATATTTATTGCGCACAAAAAAGTGCGCTGTTTCTCGATTTATTTCTCCATGTTTTTAAAACTGTCATCTCAAAATATTACTAACCGTGTATGGCATGTCAAACGTTGCTATATTCGATAATCTTGTGATTTATATTCAAAATCTTGTGATGTATGTTCGAAATCTTGTGATGTATGTTCGAAATCTTGTGATGTATATTCAAAATCTTGTGATGTATGTTCAATATCTTGTGATGTATATTCAAAATCTTGTGATGTATGTTCAATATCTTGTGATGTATATTCAAAAACTTATGATGTATATTCTATAATCTTGTGATGTATGTTCAAAATCTTGTGATGTATATTCCATAATCATATCTTGTGATGTATATTCGAAATCTTGTGATGTATATTCTATAATCTTGTGATGTATGTTCGAAATCTTGTGATGTATATTCGAAATCTTGTGATGTGTGTTCTACAATTTAGTGATGCGTGCAATAATACTGCATTATGGGTAATATGACGCAAAAGTATTCCAAAAAAGTAAGGACAATTTTCATTGGTTAGAAATAACGAAAGCAGCCGGAGCGGTGATCGACATTGTGATGCACAAATGACTGACTACCACACAACTTTGCAAGTGTGAAATTGGCGAATTCAACCTAAAGTCAAAACAACAATTATAGGTAATACTATAGTAAGACAGTATTGTGAAAATGTATTGTTTTGGTATCACGAAGCACTAAGTCAGTCATAACGTGAAAAGTGGGAATCAAGAACATTAATTTGATTTGTTTGAAGGTATTTTAACACACATTAAAAACAATTTAATGGCTAATTGCTGGAGAATGACATGTTTTATTCTTTTTTTAAGGTCCTCATATTGTAGTGATGTTGATTAATAGGTATGATTTATCTTATATAGGTGCTAGTTAGTATCTAACTGTGTCTCGGGACAAACTCTCACCACGCAGAGACGACTTTGCAATAAATAAAGAAATAAATAACACGACAAATTTTTAGGTGAAGGTGGCTGTCAGGAAAAGATTAATTGCCATGCATCATTGATTATTGTCATTCACAAATTTGTCCAATTATTTTTATAGTAAAAGTATTGAAAATTTCCTAATATTTTTAAGCTGTTTTTACAGCCTGAAATAATAAATTTAAAAAATCGTAATATATGTAATGATATATCATATTCTTGACAAGCAATATACAATGATAAAAATCATTGTCGCATATCTGCAGTGATTTTCTTTGATCTCTCTGTGGTGATATATCCCATATCACTTGTGTGATAATACTTTCCAAACATGTCTCAAAGTTTTTACACTCTATATCATACAGTTTTAAAGATTAAATGGTTAATTTATCAAAACCTGCCACTGAAAATTCAAAAGTCTTAAGTTAAACCAATTTGTCCAGGGTATTCTTAGTAAAGTATGTCAAAGGTCAAGGTCAATTGAATTGTAAGGCTGGTATTTTTTTCTTATGTTTTATGGCAATCAGTGCACATGGTAAATAGCATAAAATTACCCCTTAAAGGTCTTATGCAAGGAGATAGCCAATCAAAATGAACTCAGTCAAATGTAGTTCTATATATATAGAGACAATGATATTTCTTTTCTTTTTTCATTTTCAGCAACTTTATGTAGGTCTACAGTTTTGATTTTGGCTCATGCACTAGAAATATCATATCAGTAGAATTGTGCCACTGAATCAAAAGGATTTTTTTATGTACGCATGATCGATGTAATTTCCTCGATGGTGCGTTGGCTGTTTGCCCATGTGTATTTCGGGGTAGGTATGTTTACTCTCAATTTTCTTTCTTAAAAGCCGCATAAGGGGTATATTTTTTCTGATCTAAAATTTTTGTCTAAGCATTAATCTTTATTTTCTATTTCATGAATTATCTGCTGAGAATCTAGTTAATTAATTAATTAAATTTAAACTATATAGTAACATATAGTGAAATTATTTCCTTGTGTGAGACCTAAAGAAAAATCAGGTTACTCATTTTTACAACAATTTCTCTGATTTCAGGAGTAGCCTCCCCTTTTAAAGATCCAAAATGGTGGTTATACAGTAAGGCATGCAGTCTGGTCATCAACGGAGAGTTTTGACACCCGTATTACCCATATTTATACCATTCGCCTCTGTAACCTTTGTTGAGTTCATCAGACAGGTAAGAAAAACAATATTATTAATTAAAATAATTTTATCAAGATAAATAAAATAATTAATGAAAAAAAATTACATGAACAGACTCCCTCGTATAAGAAAATGTCACATTTTACACATTGCAATTATGCATCATTTACATATCCACATTTTCCCCATTTACACATGCAGTTGAATAGATTTAGTGCTTAATAATACATATATAGCAACAATTATTACATGTAAGACAATTCACAAAATACATGAATGCATTTAACTGTGAAATACAGATTTCGTACATTTATAATTAAAATACACAGCATCAATACCCCCCCCCCCCCTTCACAATCTTGCAACATTCTTTTTAATTCAAAGTCACTAGCCAACACTAAAGACTTCCACTTATTGCTTTTCAGTCCATGACAGGAAGTTGAGGAATAAAGTTGACAGGACATCCCGAACTGTCCTCGGTACCAGCTTATGAGGGAACCAGCTGCAGTGGACAAAGCACGTTACATCATAGGATAATAGGTAAGTCTCCGGAGTAGTCTGTTTGTAGCAATTCTCGTACTTGGTCCTGCATCGAAGCTTCAGGACTATTGATATTTATCTCTGCATGGATTCTCTTATGGCTTTGGTTCTTCCCAGAAACATGTGACTGGTGGTGGTCTCTATATTCTTCTGGCTTTTGTGGTGAGGAATGCTTCATTTTTAGCTCACCTGAGCCGAAGGCTCAAGTAAGCTTTTCTGATCACATTTTGTCCGGCGTCCTTCTATCTAGCTGTCTGTCCGTCTGTCTGTCCATCTGTAAACTTTTCACATTATCGACTTCTTCTCAAGAACCCCTGGACCAATTTCAACCAAACTTGCCACAAAGTATCCTTGGGTGAAGGGAATTCAAGTTTGTTCAAATGAAGGGCCACGCCCTCATTCAAGGGGAGATAATTGGGAATTAATGAAAATTTGGTGGTATGTTTTAAAAATCTTTTTCTCATTTAGAACCACCATGCCAGGAAAGTTGAAACTTGCTGGAAAACATCCTCAGGTATTGGTAGATTCAAGTTTGTTCAAATCCTGTTTATTAACCTTCAGTTTGCCCTGGGGCTGCTCCTGTGATGTGTTGTCAGCATTTGTTGTCAGCATTGATTGTTAGAGCATTGAAAGAGTCACAAGGTTTCCATAAGATTTGAATGAAATATTTTGATGATGTCAGTTTTATAGTTTCATTTGAAAAGAATGTGACAAGATGTCTGAAGATGTTCTGTTTAGGCTTTAACCAGTCAAATTTTACCTGTTATTTAGAGCAGACTATTCAGAGAAATGAAAGGACAGTAGGCATTTTAGAATGTGTTGTTCTGAATTTTCAGGTGTATATATACAAATTAATGACTTCATAAAAAATTTTGCTTTATAAATACTGTATACAGGGTTATTTTTGCCTGTGTTATTTTCGTACTTTCACACTTCCCAACAATTTTGCCGTGTTTTAAATTCGCCCAGTCACAGTTCTGTTTACAAAATTATGCTGCATTTTTTGAATTCACCCCATTTTAAATTTGTCCACCAATGAGTAGGGCGAAAGGGGCGAAAATACTGTAGATCACTAAATTTTCGCGACAACTTATTTTCGCAAGATTGTCATTTACTCTTTATTAGCGAGACATAATTTTCACGAATTGTTGTTACTTCTCAATAAAATCTTAAGGTATACTATTATACGCGAGAATGAAATTTTCGCGAACTCATTGTCTCGCTTAATTACGTGAAAATAAAATTCTTGCAAATAAAAAGTGATTTACAGTAGAATGGGGACAAAAATTTTCCTGCATACAGTAGATATGTTGGACATTCTTTGTAAATCATAAAATTATTGCTTTCTGTAATGGTTGTGTGACAAGTATAAAGTGTAGTTACCTCTATTTTAGGTACTACATGTATATGATGTTTTCTTTTTATAATTTACTCTAGTACAAAACCTTATTGGGGTAGCTGTTTACATGTGTGTGTTTTCAAAATTTGCTTTTTTAGACACCCGCGGCAAATATTCAAATGAGCCTAAAGTGATCAAAATTTGTTCACTGTCCATATTGTCATTTATGTTTCATCAACTTCTGCAGAACTGTCAATTTCATCCAAAATTTTAACATGTGTGAGTTTAAAAAAAATGATTAAGTTTATAATGAAGCATCCTTACATCGTTTAGAATCAAAGGGGAGATCATAGAATTTTAACTTAAGGCAATATCTTTATTAAGTGAAAGAGAGTTAGATCCATGGTACATATAATGGAGGTCTTCAAGTTCATTTCTCAAATCTCATTTCTATGAGAACCATTACATGTATCAGATATCTTCAAAATAATTGGGATGATTTAAATTATGCATTTTATTTTCTTGCTCTTGAACTATTTTTACACATTAGAAGAACACAAAGATAAGGGGCCATTCCAAGTTTTTTCTTTGTATAGCATCCACCCTAAAATCAAAA